CCAACCAGGTTGATTCTATGATTTGTTTAATTATGACCATTTTTAGTAAGTGAATTTAGTTTCTCTTTTCATCTCTAACTTCTCTGCTGTGCACAACAAGCTCTTCAGCTAGTTAGCCACTGGACAGAAAAGCTCCATGTCAGTCAGAAGGGGCTGTGAGAGATGTACAGTTGTTAGTTTCGGAGTGCTTACAATCAGGATTGTCTTGGAAATGAGTATTTACTCTGAGTACTGTTTGCTCCTCTTGGGCTGTATCCTTGATTTTTCTATTTTAATACTTCTTGTGAGGATTTTATTTTAGAATATTAAGAAAGTCATTGAAAGAAATGGATACAGCTAGGAAGTTTTGATTTTTGGCATTCAGTGCTTCTCTCTGTTCTTTTTTTCACTGTCCCAAGTTATTCCTCTCTTTGTTCTTGCTGTGTATTTTCTAGCTAGATTTATGCATTGCTCCAGTTGCACATCATGTTGGTTTGTCACTTCTTAATTTCAGCCATTTGTTATTTATGTTTGGAAGAGAAAGGATTAATTTGCTGAGATGATTTCAATTTCTTAAATAACAGAAGTTCATGTTTCTTCACGATATAAATAGTGTCCTATGACCCACAGAATATTTTATCAGAGATTCATGTTAGTTTCTGAGCAGACAAGAGAACAAATGTATTTGGTTTCTTGGTGTGTGCTGCTGAAAAATAACTTGGCTGCTTACAGAGCTCAGCCAGTGGATTTACTGATGTGAAAAATGACCTAAAGCTAGTCAGAGATGAAAGGTTTTTTTCCCTGTTAGGTTTGTAAAAGCTCAGAGAATTTAAAGGATTTTCAAGACTTATTTTCCACACTGGATATGGTACTTCCTCTGAGATTAGTCTGGATAATTTATCTCCTAAGTGTAGGTAGAGGGTCAGTGGGAAGGGCTGGATTTTTGGTTTGGGTTGTTGGGGTTTTTTTCTGGTGGTTTTAAGTGGGTTTTATTTCCCCATAAAATAATCTATTGTGGACACATTCTGTAATATCAGCTGTAGGGTTAGGACCTGATTTTGATCTACTTCAAGTTTATAGCTTTTCACATGTAAAATATTTCATTGGTTTCACTGGAAGGATGTAAATGTAAATAATTCTTGAGTCTGTCAGGACTGGAAGCTTTTTCAAATTCCTGTTAAAACCTGCATTGATTCTGAATAAACATTTCTCATGTCCTGACTCAGAAAAGCATTAAAATACATGCTAAGAAGTAGTACTACTTAAAATCCTATTCAGGAGGAGTGTTTTACTGAATCACAGCTTCCTTAATGCTGCTGAAAACTGCTCCTAAAAAAACTCAAAGAGGTAAGAAACTAGTTAGAGCTTTGCCTTACATTTACCTGCTAATGTTGGTAAGTATATTTATGGTGCCATTCTGTTTAGTTGGTCACTTCATATCACGTGTATCTCACAGATTTATTTCAGGCATTGGGTTTTCTTTGTGTTAGCATATCTGTATGAGGCTGTTCTCTTATAAATCTCTGCTTTTGCTCTCATCAGTGCAGCTCCTGTGCTGAGCAGCTCCAGATCACACAGTAGATAGAATACAGGCTGTCACTGCTGCATTAGTTCTTCACTGTGCTTAGTGCTGGTGCAGTTCTTTGAATTGATCTGAAAAGTCAAGACCAGAGGCAAAAAAAGAATTTGATTTTAACATTCTGCCTTTGATTTTTGTCCTTTACTGCTGGTAAACCAAATTTTCCCTGGCAGCAGCCTTTTAAAAGTAAGTCCTGAGTTGTGGGGAAGATCACGTCCTATTACAGTATTAATCCAGCTCAGTTTCAGCCTTCAATAATATGAATAATGCATAGCTGATACTGATGATTTTCATGTGGTTAATTCAATACATGAAGCTATGAGCCCTTTCATAAGGCAGATCTTTTCAAATCAATGTAGACCTTCTCATGTTTACTATAGGAATGTGATCTGTGTTCATTTTGGATGGAGAATGTATTTCTGAAGGAAGACTGGCTGTATGTGTGGTCTTTTGTGATGTAACTGTAATTGCATGGTTAATTAAAGGAAGAATATATGTGATATTTTAAACAGAAACCTGGTTGGCAGCAGATGGCTGACTAAGATTGAATTGGAAGAAATGTTGTTAGAAAAACTGTCAGATACTGATGTAAGTAATTAATCTTTCTAATCTTAAGGAAGCTTGTCTTAAAAATAATGATTCTGGGTGCATTTTTGGATACTGAAAAGGTGCTGTGTAGAAGCAGGTGGTCTTTTTTTAAAAGAGTTTTCTTCCTTCTGATAAAGTCTATCTGTGTTCATAGCTCTGTCACATTGGTCTTGCTCTGAAGTGACCTGTGTTGATTATTTTATCTAGCACTGTACAGAACTATTAAGAGCTTTCCATTGTTGCTAACATAATTCAGTTTTACTCCTGGTAACATTGTGAGATCTAGAGCATTTGTTCCTTGTCATCTAATTATGTAGTCAGGAATGGAGTATAGTGACACCTTATAATAGCAAGAAGTAGTAATTTATCCTAGTTACAGATGAGAAATGAACAGGACTAGAACCTTTGTTACCTATTGGAGAGAAGAGGTAAATGTTCAGGATGGGAAACACGATGGATCTGTATCATGGTAAACCTGCACAGAGTTTCTGATTGTTTAATCTGAAGGATGACATAATAATGATAGAAGAAGCACAGAAGGTTTGTCAGAATAAGGAGTCCTTTTTCTTAGTGATCAGAAAAATCAAGTGTCAGAAACAAATTGCAAAACTCTATAGTTGATACAGATATCTCTTGTTCTATTCCCCTTGATATGAAGAGGGAAATATAGAGGGCAATTTATGTAGAGTATTTATGAATATAGAGGGGTATTTCTGTGTATAATGGAGAGGGGAAGGTTTTGCAGTTTCTTCAGTACCTGCAAACTGTATCACTCTCTGGGTTTGGAGTCCTTCTCTACATCTATCTCTGAGAATAAGACAATTCATCCTAATAGACCTTTCTCACTCAGAAAGTGAGACTCACTACTTCAAGTCTCACCCTACAGTCCCCTAAAGAGCATTAGATTTTCTAGCAGCAGGTTCAGCCTATGTGACCAGCTTGGTTTTCTTTTAGAAGCTTAAGCCTGAATATGACAGTACCAGAGAATGTAACTCTATTTGTCTGAACATCCCAAGTGTTTTCTCACCTAGAAGCAGTGTTCTTTAATCTCTGCTGTCCTGTGGACAGCATCATTGCAAAAATAACCTAACAGCAGCAAACATGCCCTTTGCTCACTTGTCATAACTTAGAAGTAGCTGCTGTAAATTATCCATCCTGGTGTACCCAGGAGATTCTCTCTGTCTTTCTTGCAGTAGAAGCCACTGTGATTTTAGTGTTTTCAGTAGCTTCTGCATTTGGAATAGCTGTTTTTCCTCTCAGAGCCAGGTCTAGTTGAACAACCAAACAGTTTGGTGTTCTTCACTGCTTGGTTATAGTACATTCTGCATCTGTAAAAGTAGGTTACAGTGAGCTTAAAAAAAACTCCAACCCGCCAACAAAAACCAAACACCAAACACTTGTACATACTGACCTCTCACATGTAAACCCACAAAGCCTTAGACTGTAGGAACAAATATTGTCTGAATGTATTTGAAACATCTCAGTATAAACTGCTAGTCTTACCTGCTCAAATTCTTGTATGTTTTGCCACTGCTACAGAATTTTCTATGGTGTTTGTATTGTTAAACAAAATCAGAGCTATGGACTTTTTTTTTTACTTTGCACTCTCCAAGTGAAAACTGTGGAAGTTTTCTTCTTCTGTAGTCTCTATAATTTTTGCTTTTTTGTATTTTCATATTTCTGCTATTCAAAGGCTTTACTACATGTCTGTCATCACAGAATCAGTTAGATTAGAAGGGACCACAATGGATCATCTGGTCCAACCTCCCTACTGCATCAGAGCCACCTTAGAGCACATGGCTCAGGATTGTGTCCAGATGGGTCTGGAATATCTCCAGTGAGGGAGAATCCACAACCTCTCTGGGCAATCTGTTCAGTGCTCAGTGACTGCACAGGGAAGAAGTTCTTCCTCATGTTCAGGTGGAACTTCCTGGGCATCGGTTTTTGCTGTTCCCTCTTGTTTTGTTGGTTTCCCCCACTGAGCAGAGTCTGATCATCCTCTTGGCACTTCCCATTCATGGACTTGAATCCATTAATGAGGTCCCTCTCAGTTGTCTCTTCTGGAGACTGCACAGCCCCAACTCCCTCAGCCTTTCCTCATCACTGAGGTGCTCCAGTCCCTTCAGCATCTTCCTTGCCCTCCCCTGGACCTGCTCCAGGAGCTCCATGTCCCTGTTGTCCTGAGGAGCCCAGAACTGGACACAATCCTCCAGGTGTGGCCTCATGAGGGCTGAGGAGAGAGGCAGGATCACCTCCCTCAAATATCATTAGATTTCCTATCAACTATCATATCGACTAGCATTAAACAGAAGTAGTTTTCAAGTGATGTCAGAGTTGCAGGGGCTATTGCTAAGTTACAAGAAGAGTAGTAATTTTGTGCACAAGACTCTGGCAACAAAGAGAAGAAAAAACACTTTTAATAACAATCTGCAAGTAAAAAAAATCTTTTAAAAATCATGTTATTAGATATGTATGAGCAATCCATTTTAGATGGTCCCCTGCCTTTATTTATATCCAGTGACTGCTCTCTGGTGCTCCTTGCAGGAACACTTGTGTGAGGACATCCCAGCCCTTAGCACAAATGGGTTAACACAGTTACGTGTATTTAATCACATGTTGAAGAACTTTGGAGGGAGGTGTAAGGGGGAAGGAGAACCACACAGTAGCAAAGGATAATTTATTTGAAGAGGTTGCCCTTAAAGTCAAGTATCTCTTGAATTTTGAAATAGCTTGATTGTTCAGTTTTAAAGGAAATCATAAACATTAAAGTAACTCAGCTTGAACAAAGAAAGAGAGATAGGCATTTTCTGTATATGTTATGAAATATAATCATTAAAGAGACTCAGTTTAGTGAAATAAAATTATTTCCAAGCAAATGAATATGCTGACTTAGTGGAAATCAGGTGAACATCTTTTCCTTTGGCCCTTTTAACACAGCAATAATAAAATAATTAAGACGCTCCTCAATGTTTTCTGTTTAAAAGTGAGAAGAACTTAATTCTAGTACAATAATTCTTCATTGCAAAGGGGTTGGTTATGCTCTGAACTAAAAGTTTCCCTGTTGCCTGAAGAGCTAGGTGTCTTTAGTCACACAGAAAATGATGCAACTGCATGCTGTTCTTGAATCAGCATGTAGGTGCAAAAGTGTCATCTTGTCAGAAGTCATCAATAAAAGTGAAGTAGGAAAGATCCATTCTATAAAAATAGAAAGTTTTAGCAAATACAATTACACTTGCATCCTTTAACGTGGTCTTGTTGTCTTACAGTATTTGAGATTTATTCAGCTCTTAGAAAAATTGGCAGCGTTGCCATGCGGTGACATGGAGGAGAAGTACATACAGAAGTTTTCCAAGGAAGTTCCTGTGCAGTTGCAGAAGGTGGTTATTGAGCCCTTGCAGTATGATGAGCGAGGAGTGGCCTTCAGCACTGGTGAAGGTAATAATTTCAAGTTGGCTTGTAATGACACAGAATTTTTTCCTCTTCACGTTGCTTTCTTTGTAGTATGTGCTGAGAGTCACTACTTTATGAATGCTGCATGTATAGATGTTCATGATCATAGAATCATAGAATCAACTGGGTTGGAAGAGACCTCCAAGATCATCTAGTCCAACCCTACCGTGGTTACTTGCCCATGACACCAAGTGCCACATCCAGTCTCAGCTTGAAAACCTCCAGGGATGGTGAATCCACCACCTCCCTGGGCAGCACATTCCAATGTCTGATCACTCTCTCCAGAAAAAATCTCTTCCTAATATCCACCCTAACCCTCCCCTGGCAGAGCTTGAGTCTGTGCCCTCTTGTCCTGCTGCTGGTTGCCTGGGAGAAGAGACCAACCCCCATGATGTTAATGACATACCAAGTTACGACGTGCTCTGCTAACAAAGTGGAAGTTTTTATCCCAGACTATATCAACTGTTAGTTTTTATCTGTATTTCCTTACAGTAGTACCTCTGCAGAGGTTTGTGCTATGTATGCGAAGTGCTGGTCCTGCCCTTGGGACACAACAGCCCATGCAGCTCCAGGCTGGGGGAACAGTGGGGACAGAGGTGTTGGGCACAAAGTGACTTGGCAGTGCTGGTGGCACAGCTCAGTGGGAGCCAAGAGTGTTCACAGGTGGCCAAGAAGGCCAAGGGCATCTTGGTCTGGCCCCAGCAGAGTGTGTCAGCAGCACTAGGGCAGTGCTCATCCCCCTGCACTGGGCACTGGGGAGGTCCCAGCTCAGTGCTGTGCTCAGCTTTGTTCCCCTCACTTTAAAAAGGACATTGAAACTATTGCACTTAGAACTAAGTGTAAATAGTAATTTCTGAGAAAACTATGTTAATGGTGCATAGTTACTGCTTATACCAGGATAATGAAAGTGTTAATCTCTCCCATGTGAATATTCTTAAACTTATGTACCTTTTTAGGATTTTATAAAGTATTTTAATACTACTAGAAATTGTACTTATTGTAAATGTAGGAAGGAGTTCAACAAACTGTTTATTTTCATCTACTGTGACATCACCAGGCCAAGAAAATGTCCAGATCTATGGAAGATATAGTGTTACCTTTATCTCCTTCCAACACACGCTTCTTCCTCTCTTAATAGGCATTGATTAAAATATATTGAAAGCTCGTTGTTCTTTTTGTGACCTCACCCTAAAAACCAAACAGCTGGCACTGTATGAAAGTCTTGAGGTTTGCTTGACATTTTGGGCACTTGAAGTTCTGTAGAATCTTTAAGCCTTATAACAGATTTGGTTTAATTTCTTTAAGGTAGAAGAAAAACTGCAAGAGCTACTGCAGTCGTTCATGACAACGGGAGTGGAAAAATCACAGTGAATGGAATAGACATTTTGCACTACTTCCCAGTGCTGCAGGACAGGTGAGAGCACTGTGACATGCTGTGTCCTTACTCTACTTTAATCATTCCAGCCAAAGTAATGCCATGCATTTATATGTTGGTGCTGTGTTCTTGTTTCTGTGTAAGTATCTGGTTTATGGAAATGGCTCTTGCATTTTCTCCTAATTTGCAGGAGTTTGGGAACTGATAGATAAACCTTACTCTGTGCTTCTTGTCTCTCCATTTCTGATGGGATGCAAAACCCAAGAGCACAGAGTGTATGAATAGTTCCAATTTTAGTCCCCTCAGAAAAGGTTTGGAGATTATTTTAACAATAAATAATAAGCATTATCTTTAAGTGTTCCCTGGGAGATTTGTAAATTGGATGCATGTATAATTCCTCTGGCATACAGTAACTTAGAGGAAACAAACTATGTGAGACATTTCATGTGAAGCTTCAGATTTTGGAGGATGTGCACAGAATCACAGAATCAGTTCGGTTGGAAGGGACCACAATGGGTCATCTGGTCCAACCTCCCTACTCCAGCAGGGCCACCCTAGAGCACATGGCTCAGGGTTGTGTCCAGATGGTTCTGGAATATCTCCAGTGAGGGAGAATCCGCCTCTCTGGACAATCTGTTCAGTGCTCAGTGACTGCACAGGGAAGAAGTTCTTTCTTGTATTCAGGTCAAACCTCCTGGGCATCAGTTTTTGCCTGTTATCTCTTGTTTTATTGGTTTCCGCAACTGAGAAGAGTTTGGCTCCATCATCTTGGCACTTCTTGTTCATGTACCTGAATACATTAATGAAGTTCCTCTCAGTTGTCTCTTCTGGAGGCTGAACAGGCCCAACTCCCTCAGCCTTTCCTCAGCAGTGAGGTGCTCCAGTCTGATACAGAGAAGACTCCTCATAAGGCTGACATAAGGTTTCTATCCCTTCTGTGATTTTGATTCTTATTTTATATTGTGGTTTTTAAGCTCAAGAATGGAGGGAGAGATTGCTCAATTTCAATATCCAGAGCTGACAGATGTTGGCATCGATAGATAAGTAGTGTAATAAAGTAATTGTAAAATGAAACCTCAAATATTTACCATTGGCAGTTGGAATATGCTTCTAGCTGCTAATTTCCTATTGATTTGAATGAGGTCTGAATGCCTTTCTGGGTCTTTGCCCAAAAATTAACTCTGGTTTTGTGTGTACTAGGAGAAGAAATGTGCTTAGCATGGAACTTTATGTACTTGTATATGTTTAATTTTTCTTCTTTTTAGGGAACAGTTGTTGTTCCCTTTCCAGTTTCTTGACAGAATTGGAAAACACGACACGATTTGCACAGTCTCTGGTGGAGGAAGATCTGCACAGGCTGGAGCAATACGTTTAGCCACTGCAAGAGCCTTAAGGAGTTTTGTGACAGAAAAGGAGGTGGAATTCATGAGGCAAGGTAGGAACTGAAATTATTTCAGTGTTTCTTAATGTGTTTCTGGTAATTAACAGAATTAATGCAAGGATCATTAAGGTTCAGATTTGAGTAAATAATCCCAGTGAAACCCTGTGTATTGTATGAAAGGGATCTGCATTTACTTCTAAATTGTTTTCACTTGTTTCCTAGCATCCTTTGTGCACATTTTGGATGACTTCTTGAGCACTTTTCCATCTGTTTATGACCTCTTTTAGGTCTGTTAACCAGCTTATGTTGCCTGAACATAGAATCACAAAACATGAATGTGTATTCACTAATAAATAAGTCTGGATCAGGCATTAGTGAGCTGTAAGGTACTAAGATTGTGTTTTGTTTCACTTGATTAGTCACATCTGTAGAGTGGTCAGACACTGGAATGAATTGCCCAGGGAGGTGGTGGAGTCACCATCCCTGGAAATGTTGAAGAGGTGTCTGGATCTGGCACTGGAGGATCTGGTTTAGAGGTTCCAGCAGTGACAGGTGAATGGTTGGACTTGGTGATCTTAGAGGTCTCCTCCTATGTTGATGGTTCTGTGGTCTTGTTCTTGTTTTAAAATGTTTTATTCTTGGACACTGGAAGGTTAGCTGTGAAGGGAAAGGAATGAGCATAAACATGTTGCAAGCAACTAGCCAAACTGAAGGAGCTTCTTTCCTCTCTTGCATTATTTAGCATGTACAAGTTACCTAAGATAAGATGGAATTTGTTGAGGTGACAGCAGGATTTGATGCCTCTCAGTGATGAGATGCCACGCTGTTTCAGCAAATACACAGTTATGAAGAGAGCTTTTAACTATGCTCTCTCTGGCCTAGTAGCAAGAGTACCTGCCTGGATTACTGGCAGAACTGCTGTGATTTTTTTCATTCTATTGCCATCCATGGCACCAAAGTTATCTTCATGCTACTGTCTTTGCAGCATGTTTCTTTGATGACACCTATTCAGTAATGACAGTATGACTTGCTGGGAATCCCTTTGTACACTGACATGGTAATGAGTTTGGTGTCTGTACTGAGATCAGCGTAATTCTGAGCAGTTGGACATAGCTAAATATGCTTTGGAAACACCAAAGCAGTGGTCTCCAAAGTTGGGTGTGTGCACCCCACCTGATCCAGTGGGATTCTGTAAGAGAATCTGTAGAGTTTGTAGTGTATGTAACTTACAAATTAATAAATCACATGCAGTGGAGGTGCATGCTGAAAAATGTTTTACTGATAGGACTGTGATCAAAAAAAGGTTGGAGACTTCTGCTCTAAAGGCTTAAGCAATAGGGATAGATAGATAGAAAACAGTGTGGGACTTCATAGTGGTTTGTAAAGGACAATGTGAAGAAGTTCAGTTACTAAAAAGAAGTTAAAATGTTAGAGGATCGTAGAATCATGGAATCAAACGGATTGGAAAAGACCTCCAAGATCATCAAGTCCAACCCTACCGTGGTTACTTGGCCATGACACCAAGTGCCACATCCAGTCTCAGCTTGGAAACCTCCAGGGATGGTGAATCCACCACCTCCCTGGGCAGCACATTCCAATGCCTGAGCACTCTCTCCACAAAAAATCTCTTCCTAATATCCAACCTAACCCTTCCCTGGCAGAGCTTGAGTCTGTGCCCTCTTGTCCTGCTGCTGGTTGCCTGGGAGGAGAGACCAACCCCCACCTGACTCCAACCTCCTGTCAGGGAGTTGTAGAAGGTGATGAGGTCTCCCCTGATCTGGTGACACTCTTTGCAGTGTGGTTTTACACTGCGTCTTTACCCCTCTAGGTGTTACGGTTCATATTGTTAGTGAAAGTCCAAGTTATTGGCTGCCTTGAATCCCTCACATGTGATGTATCCATAATATTCAGTAGGAGCAGTAAACATGTGGGTAATTCTCTGTGTTTTGTAGCTGGATTGCTAACAGTTGACCCTCGTGTGAAGGAACGGAAGAAGCCTGGTCAAGAGGGAGCCAGACGGAAGTTCACCTGGAAAAAACGATAAGTTTGGGTATTTCAAGAATGGCAGAGTGCTGCCAAAATTTCTGATTTAAAACTGTTGTGTAAATTTATTCAGTAATAAAGACTTTTTTTTTTCTGCTACAATCACTACGTTTTGTCTGTTTGAAAAGCAGCAAACAAGTTTCTTGAAATGTATTTAAAATTGTGGAAGATGCTGGTGCAGTTTTAGAAGGCTAAATATAAAATAGTAGCGCATGTGCCAACTTGGCCTCTTAGCTCCACCAAAATTAATAACAATTTAGGAAACTGTTGGTGGATTATAACTTTGAAAAATCAGTGTATTTGTTTAATGACTTAGTGATATAAATTCTGAAATTAGGCAGCTCCTACCCAGGTGTGTGGACATCTTTGACGTGCCTCCCTCTCAGCCTCACAGGTATCTCAGGGTAAGTGACAACTTCCCACCTAAGTGATGGTGGAGTTGAGAAGCTAGTGAGAATGGTACTGACAATTGAGGGGATGTTGGAGAGGAACAGTCACAGAGGATAACCTTCGCCTGTGGAATCAGTTGTCTCCAGGATGCTTCCCTAGGTTAAGTAGGGAATGATTCAGAGCAAGTTCCTAAATTTAGGTGCTCTGAGTCACCCTCTGGAGGAGTCAGTTTTTCTGTTCTTCCCTCAAATGCAGAAAGAGCTGGAGGGATTAGGCTCAAGTTAATCTTTTAGAATACTCTTCCCCACCCGTTAAATCTCGAGGGGCCCGATCGAGGAGGAGTGTGCCAAATATGGGCTAATGCACAAAGATAGCATTGGACTCTTTGCCAAATACAGTCATAACTTTTCTTTTTTAAAATCAGAAGCAGGAGGTGATGACAGTGCTGCCCACCTCTTGCCTATAATTGTAGCCTTCCAAAATAGATTAGTGGTTACAGCACTCACCCAAAAGCTTAAGGTTTTGGTTTATTGCCAACTTCCTTCCCTGGGACAGAGGTCAAATACTTTCAAGGAAGAGCATGTCCTTCATCTGTCCCATAGGAAATGAGCTACAGCAAGAAAGAGGATAAAGTTCATCTCACTAGGAGAAAGCAGAAAACAATAAATTCAGCTCTGGTTTTAACAACAGGGCAACTTCCAACTTCCTTTTCATGTAGTGCTTGGAATTCTTCCTCCCCAGCTAGATTTCTTTTTAAGTGCAAGACTACCTGCTCTGTTGCTTATCTGCTGTAGATGATACCAAAAACTTTACACCTCAGAGGTAACAAAAGGTGCAGCTAGCAGGTCACCACAGATGATAAGCAGCTATGAGTGATCTGTGTGGGTCATTATTTTCCCAAGCACCATTCAAGAGGGGGAGACAAGTAAACAGACCTCATGAACTGAGCAAAACAGAGGAGGTCAGGAACTGAGTATGGATCCCTGACTGGCTTGTTTGTGACTCCTTCCTCCCCAAAGCCACTCTGTGCTTCTTCTTAGTTCTTGTGTCATGAGAATACTTTGTAAGCCTGGACAAGCTTTCTCATTGGACCTGAATCAGAATCTGTAACTCTAAAGTCACCTGAAAGGACATTATAGCTACGTGGGTGTTGGTCTCATTTCCAAAGGAGCAAGTAATAATAGGATGGGAGGAAGTGGCCTCGAGGTGTGCGAGTGGAGATTTAGATTCGATATTAGGAAAAATTTCTTCACTGAAAGGTTGCTCAGGGAAGTCTCCATCTCTGGAGGTATTATAAGACGTGTAGGTGTGGCACTTGGGGACATGGTTGAGTGGAGGACTTGACAGTGATGGGTTAAAGGTTGGACTCGATAATTTTGGAGGTCTTTTCCAACCCAGAAGCTTCTGTGACTTGTTAAATTGAATTCAACAGTTGAGTCCATTCACCTGTTCCTTTGAAAAACAAGTGGGAGTTACATGAGACTTTTTTTTACACTAAGGCAAATACAGAGTGGCTTAATTAGCATTTAACCCCTCACTTTAAAAAGGCCATTGAGGCACTGGAGCGAGTCTAGCCAAGGGCAACGAGGGTAGAAGAGGTCTGGAGAACATGTGGGATGAGGAAGGGCTGAGGGAGTTGGGTTTGTTTAGCCTGGAGAAGAGGCTCAGGGGTGACCTCCTGGCTCTCTGCAACTCCCTGCCAGGGTTGGAGAGAGGTGGGGGATGTGTGTCCTGCCATGGCTGCAGGGAGAGGACTAGAGGGAATGGCCTTGAGCTGAGCCAGGGCAGAGTCAGATTGGATGTGAGGAGAAATGTTTTCCCTGGGAGGGTGTTCAGGGACTGGAATAGATTGCCCAGGGAGGTGGTGGAGTCACCATCCCTGGAAGTATTGAAGAGGTGTCTGGATCTGATGCTGGAGGATCTGGTTTAGGGTTTAGGGGTTCCAGCAGTGACAGGTTAATGGTTGGACTCGATGGGTCTCCTCCAACCTTGATGGTTTTATGATTCTAATAACCTTGTGAATGCAAGGGAATGAGAGGAATGGAAAGCTAAACCAGATTATTCAAACATAAACTGATTCTAGTACTGTGCAGGGGAACCTTTCACTAGAGCCCCATCCAAATTGGACTTGAACACTCACAGGGATGGGAAATCTTAACTGTATCTTAACGATACAGAAATTCTCTCTAACACAGACGGAATATATCGATGCCATCGATTTCTGGTACTTGTCCTGTTCGTTCTTGTGGAAGGCAAAGCTGGAGGGTGTCCCTGGTGTGTGTTAATGCTGCTGCTTTGCCACAAGATGGTGCAGTTCGCAGCCTAATGCAAAGAGCCGTTGCCAGAAGTGGAATGTGGATACTTGGAAATGAGGAATCTTCCTTACAAATAGCGATTTTGTAACAACAGGTTTATAGGAAATTTAATGTACTGTGTTTCAGAAGGGGAGAATCGGATTGTCTTTTTCTCATGTTATTTTTTTTCTCCTGGGGAGAGAAACAAGTTTTAGTGAGGAATAATAAGAGTCAGTTAACACTAGTTTTCAGCAATCTTATTTCAGTTTGGAAGGAATACCTTCATATTAATATTGTGTGGATCCCTTCCAACTCTGATTATTCTCTGATTCTGTGACTCTTCACCACCCTCATTGTAAAGAATTGCTGCCTTAAGTCCAATCTAATCCTACCCTTAGCAATCTTGTACTGATCATATAGATAACTAAAACATATAAATATTTAGATAAAATACCAGAGATCGTTTTTGGCTAAGGGAAGGGATAAGGGTCCCAGAGAAGGACTCTGTGTTAGGAGCTGCAGTGACAGGACAAGAGGCAATGGGTACAAATTGAAAGAGAGGAAATTTAGGCTAGATATTAGGAAAAACTTCTTTCCTGTGAGGGTGGTGAGACACTGGCACAGGTTGCCCAGGGAGGCTGTGGCTGCCCCAACCTTGGTGGTGTTCACAGCCAGGTTAGATGAAGCCTTGAGCAACTTGGTTTAGTGGGAGGTGTCCCTGCCCAGGGCAGGAGTTGGGACTATATAATCTTTAAGGTCCATTCCAACCCCTAAAATTCTATATGTTTATGATTCTATTTGTTGTTGAAGCTGCATTTTATCTGTATGGTTTCATAAACTCCTTGTATTTAGAGAAATTAATTTTCCCAGTATTTTGTGATGTTTTATATGGATTAGAATTAGTGGGCTGGAATTGGAAGCAAATGTTTTTTATGCTGTGCTAGCACCCCGTGGGTATCAGCTGTAGTAGCTTTCTAAATGTCCTGCAAAACATGTAAACATAAATCACTGCCCATGTACCTGCCCACACAAACAAAGCAGTGTGGGAGGAGAACAAAACATGCAAACAAATGGGAAGTGATGGTTTTAGACCCCACAGTGCTTAGCATTCACCCTCAACCAGTGTCAGCAGGCACCTTCTTAGTTTTCAGTATCAAATAGCTGAATGTTGAAATCTTTCTAGGGGGCAATTCCAATCCACTTGCCATTTCTCTTCTAGTTCCCAGCCAGATTCTCCTCTGCTTGGCTGGGAGGTTGCTCATTTTGAAGGAAAAAAAAGCCTTGGGTGGTGCATCTCAAATTTATTCTTAAATAACTTATACCTTGAATGCAGGATCACATATGGGTAGTGGCAGCTGCAATGCTGGTGGAGGATTTTTTTTGTTTGTTAAACTTGTGTTCATGTAACAGGTTTTAGAGGAAAATATTTTACAAAACAAGAGAGATTAGGGATTATCCATTGTCAACCATAAAATCATAAGAATATTGTTATAGAATGCATAACAGAGAAAGAAGAGGTCATTGCTTTGGAAAGCACCTTGTGTCTCTGTCTTATAAATTGCTTTTCACACTTGGTCTGAGTGCCATGTGCCCATCTCTGTAAGTGTGAGGTTAGCCAGCAAAATCCCCACGGAGGGCTCTGAGGCAGGAAAAGCAATGCCTGAGAAGGCTGAGACGTGACAACTGACAATACTGTGTGAGACAAAACATCTGCTTCCTTCAACTTCATTGCAAAAAGGAGACTACAAGCACAGGGTTGCACAATATTCTTCCTGCTCAGCTCATACACAGTCACAGGGCAGCTGGGCTGTCAGGATCCTCCACCTTTCTGTTCCATGTCACCTTTTGTGCTCCACCTGGGCTGGACATCCCATCTTAGCAACTTCAGGAACAGCTAAGGAAACTCCCCAGGCAACTGCTGTTGCAGTGCCAGGCTGGGTGCTGTGTTTGCTGGCTGTGTTTGCTGTGAGTGAGACTCAGAAAATTCTCCCTGAGGCTCTCACGTTCTGGTGGGGAGAGACCTCAGCATTGCTGAAGCAAGGGCTGCCCCTGCTCTTGTAGATCTAATAGACATCTAGAATCTTTTATTTAATCAAAGTTCACCCACGGATTGTATCACCTGCAGAGTAGAGAGGAATTTGGTTTTCTCCTCACTCAGCTGCAGTTAAATTCTTAGGAGTTAAGGATGTGTTCCTTAGTGAGACCTTGACACAGGTGCTGACATCCCTTGGGTGTTTTTGAGCTGAGGCCATGGGAGTCCCTCCTGTATCTTTCACCTGAGACAGCTCTCTGGTAGCTATTTCTTCTGCTAGGAGAGCTGATTTAACAGTCAGCTTCCCTCAGAGAGTTTCTTTCCCTGTGAGAAAGTCACTTGGAGATCTATTCTAAATCTCCCCAGCATTACC